AGAAGGAAACTTGTTATTTCAGTCTTATGACTAGCCAGTTACAGAAAGAAATCACTGCAGCTGTTACACGTAGGGTCGGCACTCCTTATCTGTGAGTTCCACATCTGTGGATTTGACTAACCACAGAAAGTACTCAAAAAATAAAAATAAATAATACACATAAAATGCAATACAGTAGGACAACTATTTACATAGCATTGACACGGTATTAGGCATCACAAATCATCTAGAGATGGTCTAGGGGATACAGGAGGTTGTGCGTAAGATACATGCAAACATCCTGTATTATGTAAGGGATTTAAGCATCTGGATTTTAGTATCTGCAGGATACCAGTCCTGGATACTAGCCTTTCAATACCTAGGGATGACTTCTTGTGCATGTGCTAATTTCTTCTCTCACCTCATTTTGTTTCCTTAGGGGGTAAGAATATTAGGTGGGTCTCTGACTAAAATTTTGATGAAACTGATAGAATGTCTGCCAGGACTTTGTGTCTTCTCATTTTGGAGAAAAGGTGATGCTCTCTTGTAAAAAGGATGATTGTCGTGTATTTGGTAGAAACAGTTGTTTTCCTTGTTGCAGGAAGTTTAGGTTAGAAGTGCTTAGTGTGTGGATGCTGAATGGCTCAAGGGGTGGGCTGTGGCATATTCAAAGCTGTTGCTTCACAGAATCAAACTCACCCTATGTATTCAGCTTTTAGTGCTGTGCTGGGACTGAGCAAACCCCCTTTCTCCTATGCAGTCAACTCTTTTAGATAGATAGATAGATAGATAGATAGATAGATAGATAGATAGATAGATAGATAGATAACGTGCACACACATATATATACAAATATATATACATTATATATATATATAAAGTTCTGGGGTACATGTGCAGAACGTGCAGGTTTGTTACATAGGTATATACATAACTCTAAATTAGGATCAGCCAGTGGAGGCCCAGCTGGAGTGACGAGGCTATAGGAAGAAGAACAGGATGTGTCTCTTCTCTCTGCTTCCTCTTCACTTCCTATTTCTTTGTCACCTTCAAAACACCTGCACCCCCGCAGAGTCTGGTATTCCAGGAACAGTTGTTAATGCCAGTTTAGTCTTCCCAACAGTTGCTGCAACAGCCCCACAGCAACTCAGAGACATCACCAGCACCAGCGACCCTGTACCCACTCAGACATCTGTCCAATGCCTTGGCCACAGGGCTCCCCCACCCAACTCAGAGACATTGGTATTAAGAGAACAGCAACTTATTGTCAGAGATCTTAGTTTTAGCTCTTTGAGACCCCTCCAAAGTTTCCGAAATTGAAAAATTTCACTCTCTTCCCTAGGAGTGGCAGCTTCCTGCATGATACCTCCGTGTTTTCCTTCTGCCTTGTTTAGTTCTTTAATACCCAATTAACAATTCTTAATATTTAATTTCCTCTGTTAAAATAAAGGTGGCTTTTAATCTCCGAACTAGATTTTAGCTGTTACAGACATCCTAAAGCAATAATATCTGAAATCATGGGTTTGCTAAACTTAAAATGCTTATTTTTCTAATCTGCATTCAAGTGTATAACGATTAAAGTTGAAATGTTTAGCTACACCTTCCTGGAAGTTACGAATCCAGGAATTGATATGCACTTTTTAAAAAAAACACTGCCTCGGTATTTTAATTCCCTTTGATTTGGTTGCCAGGTCATCCTGTTCAACCCCTTAGTTGCCAAGTTATTGTCCTCTAGGGTAGGGACCGTATCTTACTTCATTTGCTCCTGTGCCTAGCAAGGAATATGGCCTATATTGAAGCTTTTTTTTTTTTTTTTTTTTTTTTGAGACAGAGTCTCGCTCCGTCGCCAGGCGCCAGGCGCTAGGCTGGAGTGCAGTTGCGCGATCTCAGCTCACTGCAACCTCCGCCTCCCAGGTTCAAGCAATTCTCCTTCCTCAGCCTCCCGAGTAGCTGGAACTACAGGCGTGGGCCACTATGCCCAACTAATTTTTGTGTTTTTAGTAGAGACGGGGTTTCACCTTGTTGGCCCCGATGGTCTAGATATGTTGACCACGTGATCCGCCTGCCTCAGCCTCCCAAAGTGCTGGGATTACAGGCGTGAGCCACCGTGCCCGACCTATTGAAGCTTTTAGTAAATATTTATTCAGTAAATAAGTGAATGAATGGCAGTTTGAATGATTTAGAAACCAACTGGCTCACAAAGCCTATTTAAACCAAAGTACTGAACCGAAGGAGAAAAGCAAAGGCTATCGATTGTGAACTTGATATAGCAAAGGAGTCAGCCACCATCAGTTGCGTTTGCGCAGAGACTCAAAGGCGGGCAGAGGAATGCAAAAGCTTTAAGACCCACAGAAGAGAAGGCTCAAGTGTGCTCTGATTGGACTGTTGGCATGAAGAAGCTAGAGGTAAGCTAACTACATGCGCGGCACCCTGTATGATACGTAAGAGGTAGCGGTGCGCAGCACCCTGTATGATAGGTTAGAGGTACAGGTGCGCGGCACCCTGCATGATAGGTTAGAGGTACAGGTGCGCGGCACCCTGCGTGATAGGTAAGAGGTACAGGTGCGCGGCACCCTGTATGATAGGTAAGAGGTACAGGTGCGCGGCACCCTGCATGATAGGTTAGAGGTACAGGTGCGCGGCACCCTGCATGATAGGTAAGAGGTACAGGTGCGCGGCACCCTGTATGATAGGTCAGAGGTACAAGTTTGGCTTTCTCTAGTTGGTCCTAAGTTAGAAGCAGGGGCAAAATGAGGGAAGCTATCAGTTATTAAGCCCTGGCTATATGGGGCTGATTATTACAGAAATTATTTACCTTCTAAGATAACAATCTGGCTTTCTACAAGTGTGATTTATATAGCAGGCTGGATTCCTGGGTTGCTCACTATAAATAGGAGTTGGTTTCTTGGGCAGATTGCTGCAGGTTATGGGACAACGTTCTATTTTTATATATGGTCTGGTCATGGTCTGTATATTCAGTCTTTCAGTCCTCAGGTTTATTTCTAATCATAATAGGCAATGTTTGATTGTGTCTCTGTGGAAATGTGCGCCCAACTTAATAGGAAAATGCACCAATGGGATCAGGGATGTTTGGGGCTCTAGCCATGAGCAGAGGTGCCTATTCTGGAGGCAAGTACTTCAGCAGTTAGCACCACACAGACAAGGCCAACAAATCAATGGACCTTTCACTATCCCAGATCTTGGGGGGAATAAAAACTGAATGCCACATGGATATAAAATTCAGTTTAACTGATAAACATTGTTTCACTCTGATATACAACCACCCAATCACTGACACTTCCATTGGTTGATGAGCTTAATCCAAGTGGACTTTCTGGGGAAAGAGATGATGTAACTATAATGGTAGTTTCAAGAAAATCCTTAGAGAACTCTCACTTTTTAATATGTCTTTTATAAAGGTATCACTTTCCCCGCTTGCCCACTGAGACACATTTTCCTAGTCTTGGCCTCAGAGAATACACAGATGCTTTAACATCTGAGTCCAGGGTGTCTTGGCAGCCTCTTAAAGAGAGACTGAAATCTGACCTACCCTCTACCTATAGAAATATCCTTGCATAATCAGTTTGTTAAAATTATTTGATGGTTTTGTAAGTTGCTGTAGGGCTGTAAGCTCTAGCTACACCAGGTTTACGTTTTATTTTTAATCATTATAAAAGCCATTAACCCAGAATCTTACCTTGTTCAGCTCTGTTTGGAAAAGAAGTCATTTGCTCAGAGAGGTCACCCTTTTTCAAACCAATGGCTCAATGTTATATACCAGAGTTTCCTTCCAATATATTTTGCTTGTTTTTGGGGTAGCCCCGTGTTTTCATTTTCCCCAGGGAAAAGATGCACTGAGTTTCAGGATACTCATGGAGTAAGAGTCCCTGGACTCATTTGTACAAAGTTGCACTGATCTCTGCAAGATGTATTTGATCTGGATGGTATCTCTTGCTAACATCTTTTTCATCAGCATTGTCTGGATGGGAGAAAACTCTGCCTGCACATGAGAGCAGGGGTGACCCTACATCATTGCAAAATTACAGCAGGCTCTAAAAAGACCATTTAGGTCATGAATATGACAATCTGCGAATTAGCAGACTGCATGTTACTGCGACATCCCTCCCTCCTCTCCCTATCATGACAGGTGTCCACCTATTGGTGGACACATGATGGATGGTTCATCATGTGTAACGCCTATGTCAAACAAACACTCTCCCTGAACCCAGTCCTTCCCTGCTTTCAGAGGGAAGGAGCCACATTTAACATCACTGGAATGGCCACAAGCAAACATAGAGAACAGCGCAGGAACAAGTCTGCAGTTCAAACCCTAGAGCAGGTTCTGGAGTTCATGGGAACAGAAAACAAGCTGTGTCAAGAGGGTGAGGCACGAAGCCACACTTGGCTGTCTGAGCTCCTACCAGGCATTCAGTCAAGAACTTAGCAGATAATGATGGGAACAGGATATTACCCGCAGGAAAATAAAGCAAAGTGGAAGCAGCTGCTCCAGTGGGTGTTCCCCAAAAGGATAACCATTGTACCAGCAAGGCAGTGGAGAGCTGTCTTTAAATGTCAGGACTATTTGGGACCTCATTCACCTGTTTAACAAAGATTGAGCTCTGACACTGGGCCAGGCATTGAATTGTGGGCGGGGGATGTAAAGTATTGCTTTTATTTTTCCCATGAAGAAACAGAGGCACAGAGACATTTGGTACACCCAATGTCACACAGCTTTTAAGTGATAGAATCAGGATTTGAAACCCGATCGACTGGCTACAAAGCCTATGCTCGTGCTCGCTCTCGCGCGCGCTCTCTCTCTCCCTCTCTCTCTCTGTCTCATGGCATGCTGTTCCTGGACCAAACCGAGTATCGGGCTACTCGTTTTCGCAGCCCAATAACGAGATGCAGATGAACTGGGAGAGAAGGGAGTTTATTTCTGTAACTGGGTACAGGGAGAGGGCCTGGAAATTATCCCCAGACTAACTCAGAATTACAACGTTTTCCACAGCTTATATACCTTCTAAGCTATTTGTCTACGTGTAAGTGTGCATTCATCTAAAGACCTAAGTGATTAACTTCTTTTAATCTGTAGCTAAGATCTGAGTCCTGAAGATCTTCCTTTGGAACCTCAGTAAATTGACTTAATCTCAGTGGGTCCAGGTGCTGGGGTCTCCTGCTAAATCATGCAGATTTGGAGAGTTAGGGTTAGACCCCCAATAAAACGTTTAATCCTAAACAGGTCTCCTTAAGAATTCCTTTATTATCCTGTCATGCTTTAAGGCCTGGGAAAGGCCTAGGCCAAACTCCTGGTGAGTTTTTATGACAGGACAGCCTTTGTAGAAGGGCACTGCCTCTTTCAGCTTTTGGTATTTAACTGAACCACTAGATCAGTGCTGAAACCGTAGTTATGGAGGCCTGTGTTAGTGAGACCTGGTCTGCTGCAACGTGGTGAAGAAAGCAAAAGAAAATAACTGGGAAACAGGTATAGAATAACACAGCCCCATAAAACTGGTTTTTTCCCAACAGAATCTTTCAGAATGCTATTGTTCTGGCAGGTATTTTTAATATTTTCTTATATTTTCTTATAAATTACCTTTTTACAGATGAAATGCATTAAAGTGACATTAACAATCAATCTTATAGACACAAGTGATTGTTTTTATAAACAGGATCTCCTCAATATTAGTGATCCCAATTTAAGAAAGATTGTACATGTGAATCAGTGGTAACCAAAAAAAAAATCTAAAAGCAATTATTTAATCAGGGCTGACTTAGAATATAACAGTATGTCATTATGTATTTATTTAAGTCATATTCTATGAAATATCCTATTTGAAAGCAAGGATTATACCTCACCCTTTGGTTCCCACTCCGAGTTACTTGTGCAGTAGTTTGTAAAAAGTAGGTGTTGGCCGAGCATGGTGGCTCATGCCTGTAATCCCAACACTTTGGGAGACCAAGATGGGCAGATCACTTGAGGCCAGGAGTTCAAGACCAGTCTAGCCAACATGGCGAAACCCCGTCTGTACTAAAAATACAAAAATTAGCCAGGCGTGGTGGTGCATGCCTATAGTCCCAGCTGCTCAGGAGGCTAAGGCAGCAGAATCGCTCAAACTGAAAAGGCAGAGACTGCACCACTGCAATCCATCCTGGCTGACAGAGCAAGAGTCCATTGCAAAAAAAAAAAAAAAAAGTAAGAGTTTAATAGAAAATAGTGAATTGAATGAAAATATCATTCTACTTACCCAACCTCACATAAATGTTTTTAGTGACTCTCCTCTGTGAATTCATTTAACAAATACTGGACTGCTCAAAGGTTTTGCATGTTTCACTGTTTTCAAAGTAATTCTGTCTGACGGCATATATTCACCAGCTCAACCTCTTCAGTTCTTCAAGGCTCGGGAGTAATGGTGTAGAATTTCAGTATTTTCCCCAGGAGACCAGAGTTACCAAATTCGTAGTTTGGGATGTACTACTCCCTTCTGATTAAATCCTGCCACCAGACTCTATTCCCTTCTGTCACACTGAAGATGCAAGGCACGTGAGGTGATTTTTGCCCAGAAATTAACTCTGGAGTTCATTTTATCTGGTAAGATCTAGCTAGGGAAATTTCCAGGCAGAATGTTAAACATGACAAATGGCTTTATCTGGCTGCCTATGGTAAAATACAACATAGAAAGAAACTGTTTAGTTTTTAGCAGAATTTCAAGAAATTTTGAAGCCTCAGGATAGTCTTTCTACAATGGCAATCAGAAAGTTCTCAAAGTTAGAAAATTCGAAGATCGAATTCAGCACGTTGTCAGCAAAATTTGACCTAAGGATAAATATTGAGGTAAATCCTTAAATGAAGATGCAGCTGTTAAACCATTTTTTGAGATGTCAGAAAGAGTTGAGTATGTGTCCCCTATGCCCTTTTTGCTATGTAAAAGAGATTTCAAGAATCTTAAGGGCATTGTCATTAATTTAGGGATAGTTTGTTATGCAGCAATACATAACTAAAACACTAACTTTTTTTTATTATACTTTAAGTTCTGGGGTTACATGTGCAGATTGTGCAAGTTTGTTACAAACGTATACATGTGCCATGCTGGTTTGCTGCACCCATCCCCCCATAATCTACATTAGGTATTTCTCCTAATGCTATCCCTCCCCTATTCCCCAACCCCCGACAGGCCCCAGTGTGTGATGTTCTCCTCTCTGTGTCCATGTGTTCTCATAGCTCAACACCCACTTATGAGTGAGAACATGCGGTAAAACACTATTAAACGTTTGCCAGTCTTATGTGTACAACGTGTGGCATCTCAGTGTTACTTTATTTGCATTCATCTGACACTAATAAGCTTGAGAAACTTTACATGAATCCCTGTAATCCCTCTGCTACCCTCAGCCCCGAGAATTGAATGACAAAGTTTGGAGGGAAAAAAATGTTTCTCTGAATTAGCCAGGATAATTCAGAGAAATAATAAGAAGTCAGCAACAGGGGATAAACTATAGTGCAGATACTGCTGGAGAGAAATTTCAACAGAAGAAGATAAGAATGTTAGGTTGCCTGCCGGCACTGGTGCACCTTATACAAGACAGTGCCTTCAAGAGAAGGCTTGTTCAACGGATTGTGGCCTCTATCCCCTTGATTCTAAGAAAACTGGCCTCTGGATTTTTTGACCGTACTGCTCAAAATGGCCAAATGCACAAGTCTGAGGTTGCTTCTGTCACCACCACCAAAAGTGGCAGCAGTGCCTGAGAGCCTCAAACAGAAATCTAACAGGAAGCCACACGATCTTAAGTTTCACCGGTGAAAGGAGGTGAGGTTGAAATCTAGCCTCATGATAAGGCAGTAAGAGGTGGAGTATTAAGGCTGGGTATGGCAGAGGGCTTAAAACACCTTTCTCCAGCCTGGGCAACATGGTGAAGCCCCATCTCTACAAAAAATACCAAAAAGTTAGCTTGGCATTGTGGTGCTCACCTCTAGTCCCAGCTACCCGAAAGACTGAGTTGAGCCCGGGGAGGTTGAGGCTGCAGTGAGCCATCATGGAGTCACTGCACTCCAACCTGGGCAAGAGTGAGACCCTGTCTCAAAGCAAACAAAACAAAACAAACAAATAAAAAACATCCTCCAGCACCCATGGATTGACAGCTAATCATTTTTAAATCTAAAATTGGGAATTTCCAATATTTATGCCTTGAAGCAGTAGAGCTAAACTAAGAAATGCCTGTGCTTAGTTCTCTTTATAGATAGAGATCACAAAAGCGAGAAAGCCACTATATATATACCAATAATTTCAAATGTGGGAGGAAGTAATAATCATGAAACTAGTTAAGAGCTCTCTCTCAAATATGAATTATGCATACTAGAAACTCACTGGTTTTAATACATAAAGTGCTAGAATTAGTCATCTTATTCCAAAAATTCTAATTCATATTAAATTAATTCTTATTTTAAAAATTCAAGTATAAACTAACTCATTTTCTATTTCCTCGATGAGGAATATTTTTATTCTTAAAAAGAAAAAGGAGACGAAAAGAAAGAAAAGGAAGAGAGCGGGAAGAATGAAAAGTTTTTCCTTCATTAAAAAGGAGCCAAGGAAGAGATGGGCTTCAAGTTAAAGATTTTAACAGTAACCCTTTTAAAAATATTGGGACCAAATCTTTACCTTGCCAGTGTCTTTTATCTTAAAGCTCTGTCAACTGGCAAAACAAATTAATGTTACTAGTCAGTATTGAAGTGTTTATTTGCACACAATAAGATGTACCCATTTTAAGTCCAAAGTTTGATAAGTTTTGACAACTGTATTCACCTATGTAGCTGTTCTCACAATCAAGACGTAGAATGTTTTCATCCACCCTGGATTTCCCTCTTGCCTCTCTATTGCCAATTCCAGACCTCCTATGCTAGGCACCCACTGATCTGCTTCTACCATATTATGTTAGCTTTGCCTATTCTAAAGTTTCATATAAATGAAATCTTACAGCATGTAGTTTTTATATCTGGCTCCTTTTACTCAGCATGATGTTTCACTATTTATCCATGTTGTTGCATGTTTTAGGAGTTTTACTCTTTATTGCTTATTAGTATTCTATACTACCACTGTACAAAATGTATTTTGTCCATTTATTAGTTGGCAGTCATTTGATTGTTTCCAGTTTCCTTCTATTATAACTAAAATGGTATAGACAACTGTATATAAGTGCTTATGGAAATATCTTTTTATGTATCTTGGATTAATATCTAGAGGTGTAATTGTTGGATCTTACAATGTGTACTTATGGCGAGTGCCCTCCTAGACTCCCATCCTCAACATATGAGATTTCTGTTTGCTTCTTATCTTCATCAGCATTTGGTATTGTCAGTTGTATTTGATATTTGCTATTCTAGTGCTTCATAGTAGTCAGGTTTTTTACGACGTATATTTTGTGTCTCATCTTTGCCCACCTCAAGGCTATGACAATTTTCTTCTAAAAAGTGCATGGCTTTAACTTTTACATTTACAGTTATACTTCATTTAGAGTTTATTTATGTTTACGGTATAAGTAAAGGGCTGAGATTCCTGGTTTTGTTTTCTTTTAATACAGATATTCAGTTGCTTTAGTGCTACTGGTTGTAAGACCATACTTTTCCCTACTGATTATCCTTGGTACTGATTATACTGTTGTGCATTTATTTCTGGACACTGTATTCTGCTCCATTTACTTATCTGTCCATTCTTACACTAATATTTAACTATCTTGGTGAGTGCAATTTTATATTAAGACTTGAATGGCAGTAGTGTATTTATCCAACTTTGTCCTCTCTTTTCAAAATTGTTTTGAGCACTCTGGGTACTTTACAATTTCATATATGTGTGTGTATTTTTATACATATATAGCTATATAGATATATGCCATATATTTATATATGCTATATATATATTTATACATGCTCTATACATATATATTTATATTTTAGACATTTGTATTTAAGTGCTTATAAAAATATGTCTTTATGTATTTTTGATTAATGTCTAGATTTTATTTATATTTATATTTATATTTATATTTATATTTATATATGCAACCTCCACCTCCCAGTTTCAAGCGATTCTCCTGCCTCAGCCTCCCAAGTAGCTGGGATTACAGACAGGCACCACCACGCCTGGCTAATTTTTGTATTTTTAGTAGGGACAGGGATTCACCATGTTGGTCAGGCTGGTCTCGAAATAGCCTGAATACACACACACACACACACACACACACACATATATAATATATATATGTTCAGGGTAGCTTTGGCTATTCTGAGTCTTTTGTGGTTTCGTACACACTTTAGGGTTTCTTTCTATTTTGGTGAAGAATGTCATTTGTGTTTTGATAAAGATGGCATTGAATCTGAGGAATATGGACTTCATAACAATGTTTATTCTTGCAATCCATGAACATGGAATAACTTTCTTTTTTATCCTCTTCAATTTCTTTCATTGATGTTTCATAATTTTAATTGTAGAGATGTTTCATTTCTTTAAGTGTATTCCTAGGTATTTAATTTTATTTTTAGCTCATGAGATTACACTCTTGATTTCCTTTTCAGATAATTCACTCGTAGCATATAGAAATACTAATTTTTTATGTGAATTTTGTATCCTGTACCTTTACTGCATTTATCACTTCCAATACTTTTTTAAGGGAGTCATTAGGTTTTTCCAATATAAGATTACATCATCTGCAGACAAGAATAATTTTTTTCCCCCAGTTTGGATATCTTTTATTTCTTTCTCTTGTGTGATTGCTCCAGCTGAGACTTCCAGTATTACATTCAACAACAGTGATTAAAATGGGCATCTTTGCTTTGATCCAGATCTTAGAGAAAGGTTTTCAGGTTTTCCACATTCAGTATGATACTAGCTGTAGGTCTGTGGTATATGTTTTTTGAGTTGAGATGTTTCTTCTGTACCCATGATTTTCAGAGTTTTTTTTCACAAAGGATGTTGAATTTTATCAAGTACTTTTTCAGCACCAATTGTAAAGGTCACATGGTTTTTGTCCTTCATTCTATTGATATAATTTATTACATTGATTGATTTGCATATGTTGAACAATCCTTGCATCCCTGGAATAAATCCTACCTGGTCATGATGAATGATCCTTTTAATGTATTGTCAAATTTGGTTTGCTATTAGTTAGTGTAGAATTTTTGCATCAAAGTTCATCAAGGATATATTAGCCTGTAGCTTTTTTTTTTTTTTTTTTTTTTTTGATGTGTCTTTGACTGGTTTTGGCATTATGATAATACTGGCCTCACAGAAGGAGTTTGGAAGCAAACCCTGCTCATCTATTTTTCACAATAATTTGAGTAGGATTGGCAATAATTCTTCTTTAAATATTTGGTAAAATTCATCAGTGAAGCCATCAGTTTCTAGGCTTTTTTTTTTTGCTGGGAGAATTTTTATTACATCTTCAATCTCATCATTTGTTATTGTTTTTTTCAGATTAAGGATTTCTTCATGGTTCAATCTTGGTAGGTTGTATGTGTCTAGGAATTTATCCATCTCCTCTAGGTTTTCATAGTAGCCTTTAAAGATGCTTTGAATTTATGTGGTGTCAGTTGTAACATCTCCATTTACATCTCTGATTTTATTTATTTGGGTCTTCTCTCTTTTTCCTTAGATAATCAAGATAAAGCTTTGTCAATTTTGTTTATATTTTCCAAAAACCAACTTTTTGTTTCATTGATCTTTGTAGTTTTTTTCCTGTTTCAATATTTTTAATTTATACTCTGATCTTTATTATTTCTTTTCTTCTACGAAGCTTGGGTTTAACTGGTTGTTTATTTGAAGTTTTTCTACTTTTTTGATGTAGGCACTTATCAAAAGAAGCTATCACCTTCCCACTTAGTACGGCTTTTACTATATCCAGTAGGTTTTGGCATGTTGTGATTCCATTTTAATTCGTTTCAAGAAATGTTTCAATTGTCTTCTTAATTTTTTAATTGGCCCATTGGTCATTCAGGAGCATATTGTTTAATTTCCATATGTTTGTATAGTTTCTGAAATTCCTCTTGTTGATTTCTAGTTTCATTCCATTGTGGTCAGAGAATATACTTAATATTATTTCAATTTTTTTGAATATTTTAAGACTTTATTTTGGCCTAACATATATTCTATCCTTTAGAATAATCCGTGTGCTGAGAAGAAGAATGAATTTTCTGTAGCTGTTGGATAACATGTTCTATGAATATTTATCAGGTCCATTTGGTATATAATGCTGATTTAGCCTGATGTTTCTTTGATGATTTTCTGCCTGGATGATTTATCCAATGTTGAAAATAGGGTGTTGAAGTCTCCAACTATTATTGTATTGGGGGGTCTATCTCTCTCTTTAGCTCTAATAATATTTGTTTTATATATCTGGATGCTCCAGTGTTGGGTACATATATATTTGCAATTGTTATTTCCTCTTGCTGAATTGACCCATTCCTCATCATATAATGGCTTTCTTTGCTTCTTCTTACAGTTTTGGTCTTAAAATCTATTTTGTCTGACATAGTATAGCTAGTCTGCCTCTGATTTTTTGGTTTCCTTTTGCATGGAATATTTTGTTCTATCCCTTCATTTTCAGTCTATGTGAGTCTATAGGTGAAGTTTGTTTCTTGTAGGCAACAGATTATTGGAACTTGCTTTTTTAAGGATTCAGCCACTCTGTGTATTTCAATTGGATCATTTAGTCTATTTGCATTCAATCTCATTATTGTTAAGTAAGGACTTAGCCCCTTCTATTTTGCTATTTGCTTTCTGTTTGTTTTGTGGTCTTCTCTTCCTTCCTTTTTCCTTCCTGTCTTTCTTTAGTGAAGATGACTTTTTCTGGTGATATGTCTTAATTTCTTACTTTTTATTTTTTATGTATCTGTTTTATGTTTTTAAATTTGAGGTTACTATACGACTTTCAAATAATATCTTTTAACCTGTTATTTTGGACTGAAGATAATTTAATACTGATTGCATAAACTAACAAGCAAAGAGAAGTCTAATAAAAACTCTTACACTTTAATTTCATCCCTTGCTTTTTAACTTTTTTTTCTCTTGAGATGGAGTCTCACTCTTTCACCCAGGCTGGAGTGCAGTGGCACAATCTTGGCTCACCACAACCACCACCTCCCGAGTTCAAGTGATTGTCCTGCCTCAGCATCCCCAGTAGCTGGGATTGCAGGCACCTGCCACTAATGCCCAGCTATTTTTTGTATTTTTAGTAGAGATGAGGTTTCACCATGTTGGCCAGGTTGGTCTCAAACTCTGACCTCAGGTCATCCACCCTCCTTAGCCTCCCAAAGTGCTGGAATTACAGGCATGAGCCACTGCGCCCAGGCTTTAACTTTTTATTGTTTCTATTTATGTCTTATTTTACTGTCTATGTCTTAAAAAGCTATTATGATTATTATTTTTTATAGGTTGTCCTATCAAAAATATATTAGTTTATACACCACAATTACAGTGTTATAATATTATGTTTCTCTGTAAGTACTATTAACAGTGGGTTTTGTACCTTCACATGGCTTTTTATTGCTCTTAAACATCCTTTTCTTTCGGACTGAAGAACCCTCTTTAGCATTTCTTTTAAGACAGATCAGGTGTTGATGAAATGTCTTAGCTTTTGGTTTCTGGGGGAGTCTTTATTTCTTTTCTTTTTTCTTTTTTTTTTTTTTTTTTTTTGTTTCTTTGTTTTATGTGTATTATTGAGATGGGATCTTGCTCTGTTGCCCAAGCTGGAGTGCAATGGTGCAATCTCAGCTCACTGCAACCTCCGCCTCCTGGGTTCAAGCAATTTTCCTGCCTCAGCCTCCCAAGTAGCTGGGATTACAGGTGCCCACCACCACACTCAGCTAATTATTGTATTTTTAGTAGAGATGGGGTTTTGCCATGTTGGCCAGACTGATCTCAAACCCCTGACCTCATGTGATCTGCGCACATTGGCCTCCCAAAGTGCTGGGATTACAGGCATGAGCAAACACCCCCGGCCCTTCTTTTTCATATTTGAAGGATAGCTCTATTGGATATACTATTCTAGGATAAAAGGTTTTTTTCCTTCAGCACGTTAAACATGTCATGCCACTCTCTCCTGGACTGTCAGGTTTCCACTGAGAAGGCTGCTGCCAAAATATTTTGGAGCTCCTTTGTATGTTTCTTTTCTCTTGCTGATTTTAGGATCCTTTCTTTATGCTTCACCTTGGGGGTTTTGGTTATTAAATGCTATAAGATAGTCTTCTTCTGGTTAAATCAAATCTGCTTGGTGTTCTATAACTTTCTTATACTAGAATACTGATATCTTTCTCTAGATTTGGAAAGTTCTCTGATATTATTCTTTTGAATAGACTTCCTACTCCAGTCTCTATCTCTACCTTCTCTTTAAGGCAAATAACTCTGCTATTTGCTGTTTAGATCTGTTTTCTAGATCACATAGACATGCTTCTTTCTTTTTTATACTGAAATCTTCGTACTGCGTATTTTCAAATAGTCTGTCTTAAAGCTCACTAATTCTTTCATTATTATTATTATTATTATTTTATACTTTAATTTCTGGGATATATGTGCAGAACATGAAGGTTTGTTACATAGGTATACACATGCCATGGTGGTTACTGCACCCGTCAACCCATCATCTACATTAGGTATGTGTCCTAATGCTATCCCCTCCCAGCTCCCCACCTCCTAACTGGCCCTGATGTGTGATGTTCCACTCCCTGTCTCCATGTGTGCTCATTGTTCACCTCCCACTTATAAGTGAAAACATGTGGTGGTTGGTTTTCTGTTCTTGTTTTAGTTTGCTGAAAATGGTAGTTTCCAGCTTCATCCAAGTCCGTGCAAAGGAAATGAACTCATCCTTTTATATGGCTGCATAGTATTCCATCATGTATTTGTGCCACATTTTCTTTATTCAGTCTGTCATTGATGGGCATTTGGGTTGGTCTCAAGTCTTTGCTATAGTGAACAGTGCTGCAATAAACACACATATGCATGTGTCTTTATAGTAGAATAATTTATAATCCTTTAAGTATATGCCCAATAATGGGATTGCTAATTCTTTCTTTTGCTTGATTAATTCTGATATTCAGAGAGTCTGAAGCATTCTTCAGTTTGTCAGTTGGTTTTTTCAGCTCTGGGATTTCTTTTATTCTTTTTTTAAATTTTTTTTATTTTTATTTTTGTTTGTTGGTTTATTTTTATTTCTTCATTGTCAGCTCTGGGATTTCTGCTTGATCCTCTTTAATTATTTTAATCCCTTCATTTAATTTATCATATAGGATTCAGAGTTCCTTCACTGTATATCTTGAATTTCACTGAGCTTCGTCAAAACAACTTTTTGAATTCTCCGTCTGAAAGGTCGCATATCTCTGTCTCTCTGGGATTAGTCACTGGTGTCTTATTTAGTTCCTTTGGTGAGCTCATGTTTTCCTGAATAGTCTTGATGCTTGCGGATGTCTGTTTGTGTCTGGGCATTGAAAAGTTGGGTAGTTATTGTAGTCTTTGCAGCCTAGGCTTGTTTGTACCTATTCAACTTGAGAGAGCTTTCCTGTTGAAGGGACTTGGGTTTTGTGATCTAAGTCTTCGGTCACTGCAGCCATATTTGCTTTAGTGGACACCCCAAGCCCAGTAACACTGTGTCTCCTGCAGACTCATAGAGGCCTTAGATAAGATCTGGGAGAATTTCCTAGATTACCAGGCAGAGACTCTTGTTCTCTTCCCTTGCTTTCCCCTAAACACAGCCTACCCGCCCCCCTTTCTTTCTCTCTCTCTGCATGCTGAGATGCTTGGAACTGGGAGAGGAGTGACATAAGTACCCCTGTGGCTACTACCACTTGAACTGCCCTGGGTCAGACCCAAAGCCAGCACAGCACTTGGTCTCATCCAATGCCCACAGTGACCATTGCCTAGCTTCTGCCTAAGTTTACTCAAAGCCTAAGGACTTTTTTATCAGCAAGTGGCAAATCCAGCCAGGCTTATGTCCTCTTCATGATGACAAGTTTCCCTAGTCCTGGGTAGGTTCAGAGATTCTATACAAGAACCAGGTCCCGGAGTTGAGAACCTTAAGAATCTACCTGGTGCTTTATTCTAGTATAGCTGAACTGTCACCCAAGCCTCAAGACAAAGCCCTTTCCACTCCTCCCTCCCCTTTCCCTAAGCAAAGGGAGTCTCCCTCCATTTCCAGCACTACCCTAGGCCTGCGGCAGGTACTTCCTGGCTAGGCTGATGTTCGCTCAAAGCCCAACCACTCTTCAGTCAGGTTGCGGTGAATGCCTCCAGTCCTGAGTCTCACTTTTCAGGGTATTTACCTCCTCTTTGGCCCACAGCAAGCCCAAAATGCCATCCAGGCACCAAGGCCTGCAATCAGGGACCCCAGAAGCCTACTTTGTGCTCTACCCAGCTAGCCGAGCTGGTACCCATACTGCAAGACAAAGTCACCTTTACTGTTCTTTTTCCTTTCCTTAAGTAGGAGTGATCACTTGCCATACCCACCACAGCTGGGAATTTGCAGGATCACATGTGAAGCCAGCACAGCTCTGAGTATCACCCAAGACCTGTGGCAAATAATGCCTGGCTACCATTGCTGATTATTCAGAGCCCAAGTGCTCTTTAAACAGCAGGTAGTAAATTCTTCCAGGACTGGATCCTTCCGTTTGAGGCAACAGGCTCTCTTCTGCCCGAGGATGTGTTTAGAAATGTCTTCCAGGAGTTAGGGGCTGGCTGGACCTCAGAACTGTACCTGATGCCCTACTCTACTGTAGTTGAGCTGCTATTCAAGTTGCAAGACAAAGTCATCTTTACTCTTCTCTCCCCTGTCCTCAAGCAGAAGGAAGGTGTCTTTCCTAAAGCTGTGAGCTACACTTCCTAGGGTTGGGGGACAAGTGGTTCAAGCACTCACTTGGCCACTATGGCTGGTGTCTCACTAGGTAAAGTGCCCACAAACCCACTGGCTCTGAGTCTAACACAGCACCAGGACTTGCCCAGGAATGGCAGTTTTTGTGGCCTAGGCTGCCTTTAAAGCTTATTTAGAACCCAAGAGCACTTAAGTCAGTAGTGTGGTGGTTACCAGAAGTCAGGTTCCCATTACCAGGATGGGCAATTTGCTTCTGCCTAGGACTGATCTAAATGCTCCCTCCATGGGTGCCAGCTGACTTCTGCCCTGCGTTGCTTTCCATTGTGACAGGGCAGTCCTGAGTTCCAGTGCAGCATCCCATAATCACCACACTCTCCCTCCTTCGAGTGCACAGATTCTCTCTGTGCCACACAGTCACTGCCAGGGTTAAGGGAAGGGTGGTATAGGCAATTCTAGACTATCTTTTCTCCCCTCTTCGGTGTCTCTTTCCTTAATAAACCAGATACTGTGATAACCTGATTTTTGGTTCTTAGGAAAGTGCTTTTTGTATGGATAGTTGTTCAATTTGATGTTTCTGTCAGGGAAGGGGAATGATCGCTGGAGGTGTCTACTGGCTGTCTTCTATGGTAAGTGTTTTTTAGAGAGTTCAAATTATTACCATTTACGCTTCAAGCTTTTCTTTATGTAGTCTGTCAGTTTTTAAACAGGCATGAGAATAACAGAATAGGCCATAATACAGCCAACTGGAGTACCATAAAACCTAGCATGCTTTAATTTTGGGGATTCCATTCCATTTCTAATTAATCCCCCAAGAGCAAAGAAAATCCTATGAATCCTGCCAGAGAATGTCGGGAGTTTGGCCCAGTGTTTTATTTTTTTTATTTATTTTATTTTATTTATTTATTTATTTTTTTGAGACGGAGTTTCGCTCTTGTTACCCAGGCTGGAGTGCAATGGCGCGATCTCGGTTCACCGCAACCTCCGCCTCCTGGGTTCAGGCAATTCTCCTGCCTCAGCCTCCTGAGTAGCTGGGATTACAGGCACGCGCCACCATGCCCAGCTAATTTTTTGTAGTTCTAGTAGAGACAGGGTTTCACCATGTTGACCAGGATGGTCTCGATCTCTTGACCTCGTGATCCACCCGCCTCAGCCTCCCAAAGTGCTGGGATTACAGGCTTGAGCCACCGTGCCCGGCCTTGGCCCAGTGTTTTAAATGGTGACAACCATCCTACCAGCTTTTCACTAGCCATCCTGCACCCACCATTTAGAATGCTTGTTTTTGCCTTTGGAAGATTTGTAGAAGCAAGCAAAGGAAAAGAGCCAAATCATTTATAGACATACGTAACCAAACCAAAATGAAAACAAAACCAGAGTGCTCAAAAAAAATTTTAACCCAGGCATACAGTTCAAACAAAATGTTAAATAGGAACATAAACAGAACCAAAAGTAAAATTGCCAGAGAGGACATGCCTCGCAGTCAGATGTAAATTCTATAGAAACCAGAATACTCAAACCAGAAGAACACTTATCTTTATGCAAGAAGAGACATGCCAGAAAAGACAAAACGTCTTTTATAATCCCAGGAGTGTTGTAAGGTCCTTTATTAAGGTGGCCTTGTAACCAAAGCAAATCCAAAATGAAGCCAAACAATCTCTACCAAAAAGAGGGAGGCTTGGCATGAAAGAAGACTCACCAGGGCAGAAGAGGCCAGCCATGAAAGGCAAACCATGGAAGTGGAACTCAAAGGGCTCGAGCGACTGCTGAGCACTGACTCCACGAATTGCCAGTTCCTCCTGATAGTGACATTTCTTCAGATCCCACTTCCAACACCACGTATGTCAACCTAAATCACTAACAGATGATTAGCCTCCCTACAATAAAATTATATTTATTTGGAAATAGGGTATTGCAATGGAAATAGGTATGTCATAGTAAACTATGAAGTTGATGTGCAAAACTAACTCAAAGTAACGGCAAAAACCACGATTACTTTTGCATCAGCCTAATAATGTGTATATTCGGGGAGGAAAAGGAAGACAGATGTTTTTAAAGGAAAAATCAAGAGGATTACATAATTCTTTTGAGATAATTACTCTTGGCTAAAAGGATTAATAACGAGGGTGGTGCCAGTTCAGGACTGGACAGGCTTGTGTAGATGTCCTCATATCCTCACAAAAGGCTTTTTTTTTTTTTTTTTTGGTAAGGTTTTTGCAAGGTTGCAAAATCTTGTGCAAGATTGTGGCTTTTTTACCAAGCGTTTTGTGATTGTTTATGCATGAGAACCTCCCTTCATGGCCTTTTAAGGCTCCTCTTGTCAGATTTTTTGTTTTTTAACACAAGTGACTTTATATTTATTTACTATTTTATTTTATTTTATTCTGTTTTATTTTTTGAGACAAGGTCTCGCTCTGTCACCCAGGCCAGAGTGCAGTGCTGTGATCTCAGCTCACTGCAACCTCCTCAGGTTCAAGCGATTCTCCTGCAGCCTCCTGAGTCGCTGGGACTACAGGCGCACACCACCATGCCCAGATAAGTTTTATAGTTTTAGTAGAGATAGGGTTTTGCCATATTGACCAGGCTTGTCTGGAACTCCTGAGCCCAAGCAATCCTCCTGCCTCAACCTCCCAAAGTGCTAAGATTACAGGCATGAGCCCCCAGGTCTGGCCAAGTGAATATTTATTTATTTATTTATTTATTTATTCCAAGATGAAGTCTCACTCTGTCACCAGGCTGGAGTGCAGTGGCTCAATCTGGACTCACGGCAACCTCTGCCTCCCTGGTTTAAGCAGTTTTCCTGCCTTAGCCTCCAGAATAGCTGGGACTACAGGTGCATGCCACTATGCCCATCTAATTTTTGTATTTTTAGTAGAGACAAGATTTCACAATGTTGGCCCCGATAGTCTGGATCTCTTGACCTTGTGATCCACCTGCCTCAGCCTCCCAAAGTGCTGGGATTACAGGTGTGAGCCACTGCACTTGGCCAGCTTTATTTTTATACCGACAACTTTAACAGTACTATCTTTATTGTAAAATTCTAATTTATCTGTCTTCAATTACTCTTAGTTTAAAGAATCTAATGTTGCCTAGTTTATTCTTTATTTTCTTGCTGAAAAGTAAACAGAAAAATAAAGAAATGAATGGAAAAGGGAGGAAGACAGAAGGAAAGGAAAGAAGAAAGAGAGGGGAAGCAGGGAACAATACAAATAAACCAAAAGAAAGAAAGGAGGAAGGAGCCATCAGAAGGAACAACGAGGTTCTCATCCCTAATGTGCCCTCTCTAAAGATCTGATCCAGACTCGTAGATGGCTAGAGACTTAACCTTTTCTGGGAATAGCCCTCAACCGATTACCAACCCAACTGATATCAAAACATCCCATCAGGTGGAGCCATTCTGAGATGTGTGTTTAACACCACTTCATAGGATTTTCCTAGCGATTAAACTGTAGTTGCCCTCAGTGCTGACCTGCTTGATAAGGCAGCTCAGAAGACTGCTTTCTATCCTCCTTACTCCTTTCCAAATTTTTCCTACACCTCCATATAAACTGGTGACACTTAAATCCTCATCTCAGGGTCTGCTTCTGGGAAAACTCAAATCAAGACAGCAACTCTGAACCAGACATTTGAATAATTGTTGTTGGTAATGTAAGAATGGATAGACAGACAGACAGATCAATAGACAGGTAAAAGCACAGGCAGATGGATGGAATAAATGGATGGGTAGTTGGGGATGGATGATTAATACATGAAATCAAGAAGAGAATCATTAGAAAGGGGAAATATTACAGACATTTTTATCTGTAAGTTCAGATTAATTAAATTAGTATTTTCTTACTGAATGCTTTAAATTGCTTTTAATATTTAAAAATATATATCATTGAAAATTTTAAACCTGTAAAATAGTAGAAAAACTACGACTATCATAAATTTCCATATATCCATCTTCTAGGCTTCAAAAATTATCTACTCATCATCATCTTGTTATATTTCTGCCTCCACCCACATATCCCACTCCACATTGTTTTAAATAAAATCCCAGATGTCATATGGTTTTATCTGAAACTATTTCACTATACATGTTTAAAAGAGAAGGGCTCTTAAATAATCATCACAGTATTATTATCACATCTACAGTAATTAACAATTTCTTATCAAAAAATATCCAATAAGCATGAAACTTTTTAATTATCTAACTTATTTATCTAATAAAGAAATAAATAATAAAGAAAGAAAAGTTATTTCTTTACAGTTTTTTAAAAATCATGATGCAAATAAGGTCTCTGCATTGCGACTGGTTGATATTTCTTTTAATTCTCTTTTAATCTAAGTATCTCTGCTCCATCTCTCTTTTTGTTCTTGTAGTGCATTTCTTGAATAATTACTTGATATATTTTAATTTAACAAAAACTTGGCCGAATCAAATGCAAATTACATTTTTGTTTCCTATGAGTCATGCAATTTATAACCCAGGGTGAAGCCAGTGCTTTGACTTTATTTCTTACTGTCTGAAGACTAATAGTGGAAACTTATTTATATTGTGGAAAGCACTCTTGAAATGTAAATGCTTAGAGGCTGTGGAAACAGACATATGTATATGAAAGTAAAATTACAGATTCTCAGAAGCTGGATAATTAAAGAGAATGAGAAAGCAAGCAGTAAATGCCAAATTACTGTGCTTTATAAATCTGGAAATTGATCATGCCATTTCTCTGCTTAAAATATTTCTATGGGTTTCCATTACACTGAGAAGAAACTCCAAACTCCTCATCCTGACCCTGTGTGATCCTGGCCTGTCTCCCCATCTACAAGCTCTTCCTCACTATGCTACAATCACAATCACATGGCCTTCTCTCTAAACCTTTGATAGCATTATGTACTTATTGTATCCTCGGCCTGGTTAGTGTTGTTTCTAATTCTAAAAATACCTGCTCACAATGGAGATCTAAAAAAGTGCAGAATACGTCTCAAGTTTAAAAATGTATAGCCAAATCTGAAAGCAACAGACAAGTGGCCATGGAGGATTTTAGCCATAGGAGTAAGCAGAAATAAAAATCTTGTGGCCCATGTGAGTATCTAGATATGTAAATCCTTTAGGAGCTGGACCTTGAACCCATGTTTTGAAATGGAATCACCCTTGATGATAGTTCATTTGGGTACAGAATTTTGGGTTGAAACTTGTTTTCACAAACGCAGAGACCAAGACCTGTGACTCTTCCCAGACTGCTTCTGTAAGAAGTATTAAAGAGTGGGTGTAGGAAAATAAAGAGAGTTGTGTCATGCAAGAAGCATTACTGAGAACAGAAATCAGCAAAAATTGGTTGGAGAATCTAAATGTATATCTAAATATGCATTGATTATAAACACCACAATTATTTGGTTTTAAAAATAATACCAGAAAAAAAAAACACAGAAGACAGGAGGGGAGCATTTTAAGGGGTTAAATTGTGCTAAGGTCCTCATTTTATTTAAAGGG